GGCCGGCACTGGGGGGTCGCGAGCTAGCCGCCGGGCGGCTAGCTCTGTCTGCTGGGCGCAAGGCCGGCACTGGGGGGTCGCGAGCTAGCCGCCGGGCGGCTAGCTCTGTCTGCTGGGCGCAAGGCCGGCACTGGGGGGTCGCGAGCTAGCCGCCGGGCGGCTAGCTCTGTCTGCTGGGCGCAAGGCCGGCACTGGGGGGTCGCGAGCTAGCCGCCGGGCGGCTAGCTCTGTCTGCTGGGCGCAAGGCCGGCACTGGGGGGTCGCGAGCTAGCCGCCGGGCGGCTAGCTCTGTCTGCTGGGCGCAAGGCCGGCACTGGGGGGTCGCGAGCTAGCCGCCGGGCGGCTAGCTCTGTCTGCTGGGCGCAAGGCCGGCACTGGGGGGTCGCGAGCTAGCCGCCGGGCGGCTAGCTCTGTCTGCTGGGCGCAAGGCCGGCACTGGGGGGTCGCGAGCTAGCCGCCGGGCGGCTAGCTCTGTCTGCTGGGCGCAAGGCCGGCACTGGGGGGTCGCGAGCTAGCCGCCGGGCGGCTAGCTCTGTCTGCTGGGCGCAAGGCCGGCACTGGGGGGTCGCGAGCTAGCCGCCGGGCGGCTAGCTCTGTCTGCTGGGCGCAAGGCCGGCACTGGGGGGTCGCGAGCTAGCCGCCGGGCGGCTAGCTCTGTCTGCTGGGCGCAAGGCCGGCACTGGGGGGTCGCGAGCTAGCCGCCGGGCGGCTAGCTCTGTCTGCTGGGCGCAAGGCCGGCACTGGGGGGTCGCGAGCTAGCCGCCGGGCGGCTAGCTCTGTCTGCTGGGCGCAAGGCCGGCACTGGGGGGTCGCGAGCTAGCCGCCGGGCGGCTAGCTCTGTCTGCTGGGCGCAAGGCCGGCACTGGGGGGTCGCGAGCTAGCCGCCGGGCGGCTAGCTCTGTCTGCTGGGCGCAAGGCCGGCACTGGGGGGTCGCGAGCTAGCCGCCGGGCGGCTAGCTCTGTCTGCTGGGCGCAAGGCCGGCACTGGGGGGTCGCGAGCTAGCCGCCGGGCGGCTAGCTCTGTCTGCTGGGCGCAAGGCCGGCACTGGGGGGTCGCGAGCTAGCCGCCGTTCCCGTTAGCATTAGCAGCTAGCATTAGCATTAGCATTAGCTTTTTTTTCTTTTTTTTTTTAAATCTTTATTGGTAAAACAGTGACAAAGAGAACAGAGGGGGTGGGGGGTAGCTTGCTAGCGTTAGCAGCTAGCATTAGCATTAGATTTTTTGGTTTTTGTCTTTATTGGTGAAAAGGGACAAACAGAACACAAAGGGGGTGGGGGCTAGCTTGCTAGCATTAGCAGCTAGCATTAGCATTAGCATTTTTTGTCTTTATTGGTGAAAAGGGACAGAACAGAAAGGGGTGGGGGCTAGCTTGCTAGCATTAGCAGCTAGCATTAGCATTAGCTTTTTTTTGTGTCTTTATAGGTGAAAAGGGACAAACAGAACACAAAGGGGGTGGGGGCTAGCTTGCTAGCATTAGCAGCTAGCATTAGCTTTTTTTGTTTTTATTGGTGAAAAGGAACAAGCAACAGAAGGAGGGGGTGGGGGGCTAGCATGCTAGCATTAGCAGCTAGCATTAGCATTAGCATTTTTTCTTTTTGGTCTTTATTGGTGAAAAGGGGCAAACAGAACACAAAGGGGGTGGGGGGTAGCTTGCTAGCATTAGCAGCTAGCATTAGCTTTTTTTTTTTGTCTTGGTGAAAAACAAGGAGAAACAGAAGGTGACATGGGCGGGCTAGCTTGCTGTCATTTTTCATGTATGAATTTAATGATTTCACAAGATTGCTAAGTAACAAGTGGGAGGGGGGGGCTAGCTGGCTTTAGCAGCTGTGACAACCAGAATACTTGTGAAAATAATGATGACATTGCTAACAATGATGTGTAATAGCTGCAATAAATGATAATGATGATAACAGCATTGGTCATTGATGAATGAATTTGATGATTTCATTACAAGACTGCAAAATAACAAGTGGGGGGGCCAGCTTGCTAGCATTAACAGCCATCTTGCTGGCATTGTTCACTGATGAATGAATTTAACAAGTTGTCATTGATGAATGAATTTGATGATTTCATTACAAGACTGCAAAATAACAAGTGGGGGGGCCAGCTTGCTAGCATTAACAGCCATCTTGCTGGCATTGTTCACTGATGAATGAATTTAACAAGTTTTCAGATTGCAAAATAATGTAATAATAATTTAATGTATTAATGTAAAAAAGTGAGTACTTTCTAAATGCATTGTATGTGTAACTGATTGATCTGTCCAACAGCCATCTCTAGTATTCTTTTCCCAACGGGTGCCTCCCACCAGGGACTTTCTCTAGGATGAGGTTTAATTCCGGCAGAGTACATGTTCTTACAGCTGCTTTCACACCACTGCTGTGATATTAACATTTGAAACCTTTCTGTCTCTCTCTCCCTCCAGGTGACAAAGAAGCTCGCTGGTGCTGCTTCTGAAACAGCTGCCTGGGTTACAAATGTTGGTATGTTGGCTTTCCAAGATGGTGGCTGGATTGACGACGCTGCATCTTCGAGGTGGACCCCCGGAGGTGCCTGCCTTCTCATTGAGGCATAGCGGCGGTCCTACCTGGAGGGGAATCGCATGATGCTCAGCCTGACTGTTGCCAAGGTGATCCTGAGGATCTCCTGGGAGGAGGGGAGGCTCCATTGTTGGAGGGAGGACACATGGGGCAGAGGAGACGTCCTTCCTCATCCAGGATCTCCACGTCACCCTGGATGTCCCTTTGCTGGATTCTCTCCACATCCAGGACGTATGGAGACACAGAGGCGCCACCTCAGCTGCACTCAGGACCCACCAGGTGTGCAGCTGTACACAGAGACTGGTAGACTGACAAAGGGCGGGGTCAGCCTTGCGGTTTCCACCTTAACCAGTTCATCCCAGGTACATGTGTGTGTCTCATAGCGTGTGATTAAGTAGATTGTGTATTATCATTTGATGCAAACATGAAATTCATTTTTGATCCAAAACCTTTTTTGTCAAGCCAGTGCCAGGTATTTCCAAGCTCCCGACAACACCTGCCAGACAGAGCAGGACAAATAGCGAGTTGTCTTCCCTCCCAGATACCAGGAGAGGCAGCGACGGGGAAGAACACCTCCTGTCCTGGGAAGGAGAGTCTCCAGAGGTGATTCACTTCAAATATCAGTTTCCTCTAATGAATATCAGATCTATATTAACACACACTGCTCTCTGATTATCTTTCAGCTGTCCTCTTGGACTGAACTCAGGCCCTGCAAACTGGGCCAGTGTTAGCCGCCTTGTGGAGGTCATATGCAACCAGCTCTGCTGTCTTCACCCGGTGGCCACGTCATTCAGAGCGACCTTGAGGACTTGGTGGTCATTTGTTCTCAAGGATTATGTGGCCATTAGAGAGACAGTGCTAGCCAGCCCGAGGTTAATGGCTCAGACCAACATCCAGCTCTTTGAATTGAATTGAGGACTCAGTGGTAAGAGTTTGTCATAAAGCTGTGTTGGTGATTCTGTGATTTATCTTTTAATGAAAGCTGAAAATCCTAAAACAGTCTGTTTGTCTGTGTGTTCCAGGTGCTGGCCAGACACTCTCCCTTCAGCAAAGGGTCTGTCCTTGGTACAGGTGGGACAAGGATAAACTTCAATGTCCCGGAGGAGCAGCCTGGCACCTCATCCAGTGCTGGTCGTCTCCTCACTCCAGCGCCCCTCCCCTCTTCTGTTCAGCCACCTCCTCTGCTTGAACTACCTGTACCCAGGACCAGGGCCTACAGGAAGAGGAAGGCGGCCCCAAGCTGCTGCGGCAGAGAGGGTGCCACTGCCTGGAGAAAAAACTGACATACCAACATCATACATCTGCAGCAAGTGTGGCCAACCCATAAAGATTGACACTGACCTCACTCACATTGCAGGTGTGTCACACTGTGATTGTTGGTGAAAGACTGTGGAGGAAAGAGGTGAAGAGAAGACAGGAGGACAACTTTTCTATCTGCATTTATAACTTTTAATTGACATTATTTATAATTATTATATTTTATTTGTTGCATTTGGAGTGGTGTTTGTGTCACCTGATGTCACCTGACATCATGGTGACCTAAATGCCTGGGTTACCAATGTTGGTGTGTTGGCTTTCCAGGATGGCAGCAAGGATGGTGGAAGGACAGCCACATTTAAACATTTCTATCATGTTTGTTGTTGATTAAAGCCAACATAGAAAGTGATTAATTACAAATTCAGGAAAAACTTCAATGTGTAGTTATTTCTATACTTTGCTGCTGCTACTGTTAAAATTCATATTAGACACGCTCCATAAAAACCATCAACAAAGCAAAGCTTCATAAAAAACTTAATTTCACGTTAAAACGGCATTAATTTCAACAATTTACAATCAACTGGAGACATGTACAAAAGAATATTATGAATGGATGAATTAAATAATGTGTTCATTTTACAATTAACTAACTGACAAATTAAAAATAAAATACAATTGTGAATGAAGGTACAGGTCACTGTCACAATACAAGTTTGCATAATAGAGAGGTGGATAAATCTTATTTAGTAACAAGTAGAAATTATAGTAGAAATGTAAAATAATACTTCATAGCTAAGTGAGGACAGTGCAACAGTCTGACAGGTTGACTGGAAGCTATTGCAGCCGTCAATAAGTGATGGAGGGAAGGTGCAAAAAGTCCAGGAGCCGTTATTTATCATCAGTCTTAGTGTTAGAATACGTTTTACACTGTGGTTTTACAGTTTAAAGTTAGCACACACGCTAACTTCAATTACAATAACATTACAAGTTACTCCTCACATGTATATTTGCCAATGGATGTTGGTTGTATGCAATTAGCCTATAAGACTAATGTAACAGTTGTGACAGCTAACCATGTTAGCAGCATCTTTGCACGGTTCAGTCTACTTTCCTTCCAGTACATGCTTGGATACATTCCAGTACTTCAAACTTATTTTGTTTGAAGTTTGAATGTTTGATGTAATGAAAAAAAGTTTGCTACATTTGCCTCCAGAATTACAAAGTTTGAATGTAGAAGTCACATAAATGTAAAACTAATAAGATTTACCCTAAAATTACAGAGAAAATCTTTTAAGTTGTTAGTATGGACATTAACCTTTATAATAACTTTTGTACACTTTTGGTGGAAAAAAATAATAAAATTACTGTTAGAAAATGTCTTTCTTCTTTCTGTTGTTGATGTTTTAATGTCTTCATTTTATTTGATCAATAACCATCAATTTTTCAGCCAAGTGTCAATTATTACGATTTATTTTCAAATTTCCAGCATTTCCACTCAAATTAAAAATGGGAATGAAAGTAGATGAATGGAAACACACTGAGTGATTCAGAGTAAGTTAAATTCATAATCAATTTTATATTTGGAGATATGATATTTTACGTACTTATTCACATATATGAAAAATGTGGGGTTTTTTTAAAGACAGAAATAGGTGCAGGTGACCATCATCTCCCGGAAGAGGATGATGAGGGTCATGCAGCTTCATCACCTGCAGGCTATGACTGAACCTGGACCTCTTCAGATGTAAAATCAAGACTGTGCAGAGGAAAGAAAACAGTCATGAAAGAAAATAAATGCAGACCTGATGGATTACAGAATTTAAGCAGTGAGTGAATAGAAAGCATTTTCTGTCTAGATCGGCAGCTACAGATCTAGGAATCTCAGACTGTATATATGTTGGTTAAATGTAAAGTAAATATGATATGTAGGTAAAGGGTCTCTCAGAGTTAGTGGACCACAGTGTGCGGCCAACTACGGTTCACGGCCAAAAATTCTTTTAGCCGGCAGCAGAGGTAGTCAAAGAGCCGGATTGACGTGTGTGTAAAAGGGAGTCTTAGCAGCAATATAGCAAGATCTCTGTATAAAGGGTTTAATACATTACAACGATGTGGAATAAAGGTGCAACATTCCCACTTTGAACAGTCTCCATCATTTCTGTCTCCTCTTTGATGTCACTCCTCACGTGTTTCAGCTTCTTTCTCGCACACTTTTCTTTGTCTTGTCTAGATATAGATGCACTTGCTTTCAATTTACACAAGAAACTACCAAGACCCTGAAAGCAGCTAAATGCAATTCAGCCATCTTTCATTTTATTATTTACATCTGTCACATGTCAAAATGTCCTCCAGGAAAAAATAAACCCATAAATAATTTCTCTTTTGTTCCGCTCAACAACTTTCCCTCATACACACTTCACCTATAGGTCAAAACCATAGTCTGATCCTGCGGCATTGCTGCGGTTGACTACCTCCCTCTAGTGTTGCATTCAAGGTACTGCGGTGACACTAGTGTAAAGTAGGAGGGTTCAAGTGTTAGCGCCGTCGCAGGACCGAGCAGCAAGCTCCAATCAGTTTGCAAAGCGGGAGAGTCGCTACGGATCATTAAGCGATGGTCACATGACAAACAGACAGCATCAGGCTGCTCGTAGTGGAAATCCGTGTAGTCGACGTGTTTAATGATCCCTATAGTAAAGTTATGGTACATTTTCTGCATTAATGTACAGACTTTTCCTTTCAATGCTCACACATATGGGATGCATTGGAAAGCAAATAGCCACAGAAATGTATGTGATGAAAAAAAGTACTGCTTCAACACCATATGTTAGTAAACAGATACATGTTGCTAATAGTACCTCTATTTTATCTGAGAATTATTCTGATTACATTCTGTGTGTACGGTGTAGTCTGAGTAACATCTGAATATGACTTTATAGAAACATTAACGTAATATTGTGAATGTGTCCACAGCCGGTTGTGGTGGTAGTCAGCTGGCAGTAGACAGTGGCTGGCAGTTTGCTAGCAAATTAGCTCCGGTGCTTGCGCGGCTACTAACGTTGACCATGTGACCACGTTGTAGCGGTCCCTCGGCACACATCGGTCCCTCGACACACTCATCGGTGCAAGTTTAGGTTGGTCAAAACATCTCCGCAGTTCTGATTGGTCAGCAGACTGGGATTCTCTTCTCTGATTGGCGGAATGAAGCAGAGAGCTCCGACTCTGTCGGAGCGTTCTTCCGGCTTACATGTTGGAAAAAAGAAAAGACGAATGGAAAAAACTGTAATCCACAAAACGACCATTGCCTAGTCACTCCGCGATACGGTAACATCTGCACACACACAGAAACGTGTTTCTTTGTTTAGCCCTGTGAAGTTTACGCCGCCGTACGCTTTAGAAAGTCCAGGGATTAGCACGAAAGGCAGGCGGCAGCGGAGTTGGCGACTCTAACGTTAGCCTGCTGCTAGCTACGGTAGCTGGCTAACAAGGTAGCTTTTTAGTTTTAACGCTGCCGTTAACGTTACCAATGACCGTAGTGTACATTACCAGACTGAGCAAATGGCAGTCAAAAAGCCAAATTTGTACTTGCATGTTAACCTAATATTTGATAAACAACGGTGCAGTTGTCGATAATATGTCGATCATATGTTGTTGCCCACATAACGTTTACGCCAAACAAAGGTTCGCAAAATATTCTGGTCTTGGTTTTCTCATTCATATGTTTTTATATACGTTGTGTTGTCACCAGTTGGTTAATGTTATCGACTTGCTTCTGGCTCCTTTGCTAGATGGTCAACGATAATATTCCGCAGCTCTCCATTTCTGTTTATGTACCCGCGCCGCATGTAAAGGGTTAAACCGGTTGCTTTTATTGTTGTAGTCCTCGTACAAGGTTAATAGAAGGAATACAGCGGAGAACTGATCGTAAACACCAATGATATGTTCCGTGTGTCCGTCGTTGTATTTAATGTACAATTCTAACACTATTTTAGGTCATAAATAGTTGAAATGAGCTCCCAGCAATTCCCCCGACACGGGCTGCCTCCCTCCAGCGGGGGAGCACCACAGCTCCCTGCTGCTGGAAACCTTGTGTCTGTCAATCAGCCGTCAAATGCTCCAGGTAAATTACTGTCACTGACATGACTTACGGGATACTTAACAAATGGCGAGGAAGACATCTGTAAAATAATATTGATGTGAACAAATTTTCCATAGCTGGTGCAGATGCAGACAGCAGTCGGGATGCTGACCACGGGCAGCAGGATCATCCACCAGCTGGGGGAGGGGGGACTTTGACGTTCAGAGATGACAAGCAGGAGACCATGGTGGTCAGACCTTATCCACAAGTGCAGACACACGGCCAGCCGCAAGCTGCTCCCCAGACTGTGCCCATCCAGCCTGGCACACCTGTGACTGTACCTGCCCCCCCTGTCCACCTCCCCCAGGGCCAGCCTGCAGTCCTCACTGAGGGACAGGTGAAGGTGATGCTAACATTTTAGAAGCTTTTTATACATATTCATAGTATAATAATTGTGGTATTACCATTTTCAGTGCTAAATCACACTATAGTTGGCCATAATGCTTTCTGTTGTGGTCGAACAATAAGCTGCTGCTGACTAAGGTTCGTTCAGAAGGTGTTGAATTATTGCATCGGGTCGTGTTAGATAACCTTTCTGAAGTTGAAAGCTTGGCTGAGCTGACTGCTGGGGAGAGTCGGGGCTATTAAGGAACCAACAATCTGCAGTGATGATCTTGAAGTTTGAAATAATTCAGGATGTAACAATTTGCCCTCCTCGTCTAATCCTCATGCCCTCCAGACCGAGTTGGACAAGTTTTATTTTAAAATGAGCTAAAATATCACAAGACTCCGACAATGAAACCTGAGACCAAACTTGGCTGGAGCCAGTGGCAGATTAGCTCAAGAGGAGACACAATGAATGAACAGGAAATCTTGAACAAGTGCAAGTTGTGTTCTGTTTTCAGTCTAAAGTGGTAGAGAGGTTCCATCTTAATGTAGTTGTTGTTATGTCAATTCAAATTTAAAACTTGGGACGGAAAAGACATTTTTACAAAATATCTGCAACTGTTTCTTTAGATTTTAGAAATTTTGCAGATTGTATAAATCAATCACAGCGAAGAGTTTTTCAGATTTTGTTTATACTTAGACAATCAGGATAGTTTTTTTTCTTCTTTTTTTTGTTATGGATAAACTTTCTGACTGACAGCTCACTGATATAATTTACTGTCAACTTCAATTAGGGTATAGGTCATGTCCGAAGTGTCTAACCATACATTTACTCTGTAAACACTCAACAGTCTTCTACTGCAGTTTGTTGTTTCCTTTTGCTTTTTGTTGGTTTCAGTAAACAGTTTTTTTGTTTGTTTGTTTTTTTATTTTTATGTCCAAAAGCACTCAGGACTAAAAACAAAAAATGTATTTATTTATTTATTTATTTTTTAGGCTGTCCTGAAGTCACCTATGCAAAGTCGTCTTATTGCCCCAGCACCAGCTTCCAACCAGGCTCATATCCCCATGCCCCCCAAAGTGCCTGGTCACATTACTGTCACCTTAGAGAGCAGTATTGCTCCAACCCCGTCCATACCTGTGGCAACCATCAGTGGTCAGCAGGTGAGTGCACTGTACATTCGCTGTCAGTGTATGTTGTTATGTTTTTCTTCCTGATTACTCAAGATGCGCTGCTTTCACTGTGTTTCAGGGTCACTCCAGCAACGTACACCACCTGATGCCAGCTAACATTCAGATCATTAGGACCCCTGCCGTCCCTCCTCAGACCTTCACATCTCATTTACCCAGAGGTATGCCTGATGTCACAAGAACAGACTTGATGTTTGCTTGTCCTTGAAACAGTATTGTGTTTACAACTCCTTCGTAGCTGTGCTTTTCTCTTGATCTGTGTATTTTCCTTTACCACATAGGGGCTGCTGCAGCAGCTGTTATGTCTAGCTCCAAAACTGTCCTGCGGCCAGCCACCGGGGCAAGTGCGGGTCCCGGCCAGCCCACAGTGCAGCATATCATCCACCAGACTATTCAGGTACCCTGATGCACTTTTATCAAAACAAGCGTAGATATTGTGTAGAGCATTTAGAAACATTGTGTGTAACCCTGTCTTCTCCCTCTGTCCACAGTCTCGCCCTGCTGTTACAACCTCTACAGCTGTGCTTCCAACTGTGGTGGCCCCCATCTCAGCAACTAGAACTCAGTCCCCAGTTATCAGTCCGACTGCTACACACTCTGCGGAGGTGGCACACGGGTAGGTGGCAGTGCAAGAGTGTATTGACTCGGGCGTAAGCAGAGACATGGCACGTATAAGAGCTAGAAGTGATTATAAATCAGTCACTATTTAATTTTAAAACATGGAGTTTCAACCAAAGAATATTTATTCTGTCTCAAGTTGTTTCACTTGAAATATTTTTAGGTGCCAGAAAAGGTGGAAGTGACCAGTGTTTAACAGGAGAAGTATCTTCATTTATACAACTTCCTCCAGTTAGTTGACACTTTAAATGCTTTTCTTTGTGAAACACCAGAACGAAATGATCTTTTTAATCAATAACCTTGACAGGCATGAATGAAAATGTACTTGTGTGCATCTCTTACGTAGACAAACTGTATTGAATAATATGATGATGCACTTAGGAAATGGGATTTTTTTTTAAACAGGTATATGAGTATTAACCTGTTCTTTATCACCATTGCTCCTACAGAGATGTTTTCTGTACTAACAAAGGTGGACAAAGTACACAACTTCGAGTTATAGTACTGGAGTACTTGCTTTTAAAATTACTTAAGTATTCAAAAGTACATTTTTAATGCGTTAAAGCTCATAGAAATTTCCATAAAAACACAATTGAATCCGCAAAAGGAGCCATTGTCGTTTCCTGGTTTGTTTGGTTTTTAGACAGTGATGAGGTTTGGTCATGGTAAACACAGCAAACATTTAAAATGAAATAATTTCAAAAATGGATTTAAGGTAAGGCCATGGTGCTCCGGTGAAGAATCTTCTGCCTCATCTTTATCTAATGTAGGAATCGTTAGGACACCGCCACGTTCAAACTGAGCTGCTCAAACATGTAGCAAGCACCTCGTGACTGAGAGAGTTGACTGTTATTGGTTTCTCTCCTGTGATGAACTCAGTGTATGGTCTATCACCTTTTCAAAATAAAAGGAAACTCATTCCACTGACTTAAAACTCTGCTTCAAAGTAGCCGAGTGCTTCATAAAAAATGTAGTGGAGTCAAAAGTACAATGTTGGTCTTTTAAGTGCAGTGCAGTAAAAGTCGGACAAAAGGACAGATACTCTAAAAATATACTGAAGGTGGCCACTAAGTTGATTTTTGTTCGACTCTTTCAGGCGTTCAGCGCTGACCCTTCACCCACCTCCAGCCACCGTCAGTATTCAGAGGCCTCAGACGTCCCGTGACACCCCCACAAGGATCACACTGCCGTCACACCCTGCGATTGGGGCTCAAAAGCCTCAGCCTCCACACACTATGACACAGGTTACTGCTTGTTGATGGCGGCCTATAAAAATAATGATTTTTTTTTCTACAGTCATTGAAATAACGACTCTTTTTTTTTTTCCCTCCGTCACAGAAACCCATGTTCAGTACTGCGACACCAGTAGTTGCAGCAACTGTGGCACCAATCGTCGCCACTAACACTGTGCCATCAACCACGACAATAGGTATTGCCTGTTTGTACTGCGGCGCTGAAATATCCTTTAACTACTCACAGCAGTTTGTTGTGTTTGACTAAAGGACACAGAAATAAATTGCAGTTCGCTGATATTGTTTCGTTCATGTTTAGGCTCTGTGCCGCATACCCAAATGACGAGTAACACTATCGTCACCATGACGATGGCCTCGCACTCCTCCCATGCTACAGCTGTGACCACCTCCACCATCCCCGTTGGTGAGTTTGACCGCTTGTCTTCTCGCTTGTCGTGTGCGATGCGCGTGACGCTTAACCTCGTTCATTTTGTAGCATGTTGTAGTGAACGTTTGGTCTCAACCTTCCCTTGTTCACAGCTAAAGTGGTTCCTCAGCCCATCGCCCACAATTCATCCCGTGTGCAGCCCGACTACACGGGAGAAAGACCCAACCTCATCCCCATCTCAGGCCATCGGTCGTCTCCTAACCCCGTCACCATGGAGGCGCGAAGCGACAACAGGTGAGCGCTCGATGTTGGTTCTGACTCTATGAGACTTTCATACCAGGAAAAAACTAAACGAATTATATGTTTTTCTTTGGTTTTTGAAAACCTAAAGCCAGAGGTTGACATCTGATATTCAGCAGTGGTGTTTGAAACTCCCAGTGTGACAAAATGAACTGTATCTATTTGTCTTTGTTTTATTCCTGCAGAGATCTGATTTCCTGCCCTTCACCAGATTCCTATTATTATATATTATATTATATTATACTTATTACTAATTACATATAACGGCTATAAATATATAACTGTAGTGAATAATTAGCTTATTCATGTGCCACTACACTAATGCAGATTGCATTTACCAAAGGAAAAAACTTGAAGAGGTTGTGTTGTAATTATGATTTATGTATGGAGAATATGAATCTTGTGATTATTAGTATTTATTAACTTCAGAACAGCTGCGGATATTTTATTCAGATGATGATGAATCTTTTATTGATCTTGTATGTTTCTGTTTTTAAGGCCGTCTGTGCCAGTACAGTTCCAGTATTTCCTGCCGGCTTACTCTTCGTCATACCCTCTGACACACACATACACCCCCATCAGCAGCTCTGTGTCGACCATCCGCCAGTATCCCGGTAAGCGCTGCTCCACTGGCAGTCACAACCAACGGCTTGATCGCATTACATTTCCACAACGTTTACCTGCACGGAAGAGGGAGTGATTGTCACGTTACTGATGCAGGAAATAAATGCATATTGATCAGAGCAATCACAAACTATAAACGGAACATGAGAGCGACGTGACAGTTTGTTGTCTGATAGTGTGACGCTCTGTCTAATATAGTGATAAAACATGCTAGAACAGGCGTCTCCAACAGGTGGCTCACATGCTACCAGTGAGTCTGAACAAACCGTCAAATGCATCGTACAAACTTAAAGCAACACAACTTCACCCAGTAAATCTACATAGAAACTCCTCTGATAACAGAACAGATATAAACTAAAGTTTTCCAAGAAACAGGAAATATGTTGCCATGGATACAGTGAGTGAGTTAAACTGTGGGCTTCAACTTTTTTTTTTGTGCCCATGTTTGTTTACATTTTGGAAAATGAAGTGAACTGAATCAGTTATTCCTGTTTGTTACGTATCATCACTGGATCGCTGACAGAGGAGCTTCTTGTCTCTCTGGTTTCCAATCAGATTTATGGACGTTTATTCGCAGCAGCGTTTTCATGTCTGTGTGTTCAGCTTCACACGCTTGACTTTGTCAGTTGTTATGGCTTCAATAGAAATGAATGGAAGACGGCACAGATATTCGTACAGCAGAAATGTAATGTGACCAAGCCTCAACTGTTGTAGTGATTGGTGTAGAGTTTAATTTACCCTTTGTCTTTTGACTTAACATATAAAGGCTTGAAGCTGAACTCTGCTCTTTGGATGTGAAATGTGAAAACAGTGTGAAACATGTCACTTTATAGCAAGACAATCTCATTTTTAACTTTGTGTTTCTCTCTCAATAAGTCACTCCTCAAGCTCCAAGTTCAGCACTGCCCACACAGCCTGGAGTAGGCGTGGCCACCACTGTCCATCTAAACCACATGCAGCTGATGGCGGTTGATCGGATTGGTCTGCCCTCTGCACAAATCAGCACCCAAGGGCTCCAGCCAGCGCCGATCGCTGCGCAGGGCATCCAGCCTGCACCGATAGGAGTGCAAGGTCTGCACACGTCCGCGTCAATCACCACACAGCAGCAGGCACCCATAGCCACTCAGCAGCAGCAGCAACAGCCGCAGTCTGAAGCTAAACCCGGTAATTACTGAATGGACACTGTGTCACGGTGTTGACAAGGAGTTAACTGAGTTGTGGGCTGTTTGTAATGCATCTATTATTTCATTCAGGGGTTGTTTTGGCTGACGGCTTTGTAGCCAGCCCAATCAGCAGCACATTCAGCACCACCCAGCCAGTAGCCACCATGGTGCAGGCACACGCTCAGGGAGGAGTAGGAGGAGCTCCCACCCTGGTATCATCCCCTAGGCCCAGCATCCTTCGCAAGAAGCCCGCTGGTGATGGGTGAGTCAGAGACATTCGTCCTCGGAAGACTTTCCATAAAGCTCGTTTGTACAAGTGCTCCATGTCAGATTTAGCAAACTCTCTACTCAACTAAACTGCTGATTTTCCCCGTTTATAATCATCTTCACCTTTTTTCATCTTCACCTTTTTTCATACACATAAATGTTGTCCAACAGTTAAAAGAATAAAAGAAAAAGATCAGTATTTGTATTCAAGGTCCCGAAATAATTTGAAAATATTGACACAGCTGCCAACGACGTCATCAGTAGAAGCGCTGTGCTGCGACAGAAACAAAGAAGGAACTGTTTACCGTGAAGTGAGATGCTAAATAAAAGAATATTGTCGTAAAGTTGATGTTGCAGTGAATTAGAAAGCATCATAATTCACTTGTACCCAGAGCAAATGTGTTCCTACAAGTACGACCTAAAATTAGACCCGACCCAGAAACTCTGATTTAGTCTGCTCTGTACTCAAATGTATCACTTGGCTTTTGAAACTAGGCGTTTCAGTGGCACACAGTCGGGGTATAACAGGGTGACAAACAGCATTAGATTCTGAGAGACACGTGTTAAGTTCAAATGGGGCGGCTAAATGTTTCCTTTTACCAAACACACCTGGTTCGTCTTTGTGTGTTGTAGCTGTGTTCGTAAGAACCTGATCCCCGCCCAACCCAGTGAACCCAGCGGAGGCAGAATTGAGAGTGGCGTGAGAGGAGCAGGATCTCCCAGACCTGCAGGGTGAGCTTCTGTCACGTCGATCGCCTCCCATGTTCACATCCTGTCACTGTGAGTTATGGTTTGAACCTGTAACCTGACGCTTCTGATTCTTCTCTCAGGGTGAAACCCAAAGCCGAGGTGCACATGGCAGTGGCTCCTCCTGTCATGGCTACAGTGGAAGCGCTACCTTCTCAGGGAGGGGAGCAGCAGGTGGTGTCCTCGAACACCCAGCACCTCGCCCAAGCCATCCCCACCATGCTCGCCACGCCGGGACCTGTACCTCCCTCCCAGCCCTCCACTGTCCTCTCAGCCCTGCCAGCAGCCATGGCTGTAACTCCCCCCGTCCCCGCTTCGATGGCCAACACTGTGGCCTCCCCGACTCAGCCGGCAGCCAGTAGCACCGCAGCTTGTGCCGCCAGCTCCACCTGCCCAGATGTGAAAATTAAGCAGGAGGCGGAGGCCATGGACACCCAGCCAGGTGAGGAGCATGTGTGTCTTCCACATGTCACCAGTGATGTGATCATCATGTGATCTTCTCATAAGTGAACGATGTGTCTCACTTATTTCACCTGCAGATCCCAATGCGAACTTGTCATCAGGCCCGGCACTCACCACCCAGGCCTCCACCCTGAACACTCCTGCCACAGGAGAACTGATCCCCGGCGCCTCCCCGAGGAAGAAGCCCCGCAAGCAGCAGCACGTTATTTCCACAGAGGAGAGTGAGATGGTGGAGACCAACAGCACGGACGAAGAAAAAGCTCCCGGCAGGCCCATCACCGGCAGGGCTGAGAGGTGTGAATCTCCACCAAGGGAATACGTTGGTATGTAATGTAATGTCATCCACTGTTACAGCCATGATGTCAGTGTGTTGCTGTCACTTGTTTAATGCTTGTTTATTTGCCTGTAGATGAAGAAGGAGTGCGTTACGTGCCAGTCAGGCCTCGGCCACCTGTCACCCTCTTGCGGCACTACCGTAACCCCTGGAAAGCTGCCTACCACCACTTCCAGAGGTACAGCGATATCCGGGTCAAAGGTCAGTATCCTATTGCGTACAGACAAAAATACCAACCATTTCATACAGCCGGTGGCTTTGTCTTTCTAACGACAGTTCTGTGTTACTCTCGCAGAGGAGAAGAAGGGCACCTTGCAGGATATGGCTAATCAGAGAGGCGTGGCGTGCAGAGCACAGGGCTGGAAAATTCATCTGTGTGCTGCACAGCTCAGGCAGCTGGTGAGTGCTGGCCCCAGACCTGCAGAAATATACATCCACATTACTACTACTAGTCTCAATGGTTCACTCAAAGTTGTTATTTTAGTTCTTCATAACAAGAGTCAAGAGTAAAGAAAAGATGTAAGACATTAAAGTTCCTGTAAACGTGTTTGTTACCTGATCTACAGTCGAGTTTGGAGCATGATGTGTACAGCCGCCTCTCCACCCTGCAAGAGGGTCTGATTCCAAAGAAGAGAGCAGGTGCCGACGACGACCTTCACCGAATCAACGAGCTCATACAGGTCAGGCTGTTTCTGAGCTGGGAGGTTTCTCTGCTCCGTTATCTGCGTTCACTGCTTCTTAAAGTCGTCTATATAAATTGAATGGAAACAAAAGTTTCATTTATTTATTTTATTATTAATATTCTCAGGCAAACAGGCCTTTTGCTGCATCACAGCTGCACCCACAGCGTGATCTATGGCTTTATTTTATGAGCTTTACTGTAACTTATTTTGTTCAAGCTCATTTTTATGGCTTTGATGAAGCTTAGACGGGGGAACACACTGGCTGCATGGCGGCTGCGGAACGTCTTTCGGCGCTCATGTTAAACGGGTTACAGCGGTCACACAGCCTCGCGGCCGCATCACACATTCTATGTGTGCGCGTCGCAGCAAAAATAGACTCAGAAAAGACCTGTTGTTGTCATACCCGCAACATTACTTAAAACTGACACCTTCCTCTATAGTTGTCTCTGTCTAGGTTGAATCTGAATATGACACAGACATGAAAAACCATTTTAGCAGCTGCATTTCAGTGACGTTTTCGGTCAAAAATAAATCAGAAATGAATTTATAATGAAAAGAAATCCAACATGGGAGTAGCCTGCAAACTGTGTAGAAAGATAAAGCTGGTAGTAGCAGCGACGCAGCCGTTGCGAACACAGATCGTCTTTACCAACAGGTTTGCTTTCCACAGCTGAATGGTGTTTTTTTGCGTGCGTGTGTTTGTGTCGTCAGGGTAACATGCAGCGCTGTAAGCTGGTGATGGACCAGGTGACCGAGGCCAGAGACACCATGATGAAAGTGCTCGACCACAAGGAGAAAGTGCTGAAGCTGCTCAACAAGAACGGTGCCGTCAAGAAGTCCTCCAAACTGAAGCGTAAAGAACGGGCGTGAGCTGGACCTTCTCTTCTGTCGCCGACCGCCACTGTCCCCTCCCTGCAGGGGGGTGAAGGAGCTGCTCAAAATTTGGTGCTAAGATTTGCCGCATACAATCGCATGCACCCTCCCTATCTGCCTGAGAGTGGACAGAGGGAAATGACAGGAGGACGCAGAAAAGCCTATGAGGAATAGGTTCTCATTAAAGACAGAGCACACATATTGAGCGTGGAGCATTGTAGGTTGCATTAGAGAGGCCAACTGGACGGCCCTGCCACTGTTTCCCTCCTTTTTTTTTTGTTCACTTTTGAAGACCCCCAGAGACCATTTCTACTAACTTAGTCTCCGCCTCTTCTCCTAAGACAATGTTTGAAGCTGGCACGATGTGTATTTGTGATATTTGGCACTAAATGCAGGTGCAGTAAATCCCTAATAAGTGATGAAAGTATTTCAGTTAAGGTGAACCACCCAAGAGTTATTGAATGGGATTGATCAAAAATCATTTCTAAGGAGTCCTTTAGCAAAACTGTGTGTGTGTGTGTATACAGACTAATCTCAGTTGTGCTCTTTTCATCAATCTGTGCCTTCATTCTGTCAGTGTACATGGAACGGACAGGGACGTGTGAAAGCGGATTCACATGCTGTCGAAATATTCTTAAAATACGCTTCAGAGAAAAGGTTGAGGCCAGTGTCGCTGCTTCCCCTTTTTCTTTTTTTCTCTCTCCGATCATCCTGCACCTGCATTTTTTTTTATTTTTTATTTTATTTGTTCATCTACTTTGGGTAAACGATCACCTACCAGCCACAACTTAAGGTGTAATCTAAAAGATAATAGAATACTTTCATGAGCTGAGGTAAAATAAAATAAAATAAAAGAACCTAAACGTGGCAGTGCTCACCTGTTGTCACAGGATAAATAGTGTCCTTCGATGGTTATCTGAAAATAAAAACACACTGCATATGCATTACGCCAAGTTAACTTAACATTTAAAACCACCATGAATCACCCACTTAATTAAAATAAATTGATGTCATGGTGGTAAGAACATACTCTGATTTGGTTTCAGAAGCTACAGTGCTTTAAAGACAGACAGACAGACAGACAGACAGACAGACAGACAGACAGAGAGAGTATTCATTGTGTGATTAGAAAGGTGGATTGTTCATGTAAATCACTGTAAATGTGCTTTTGGTTTTTGTTTTTTTTTTTCCATTGACCTGGTTCTTTTCAAGTTTTGTACTCGGTGAAACATTTTGTGCTGTGTGACGTGTGCCACTTCATTTTTGCAGAGTGTAACGATAATGACGTTATGAGATGAAGTGAGCCTGAAACATCCAGCTATTGTACATTGTTTTTGTCTGTGTAATTATAGTAAAGATACTTAAACAATACAAAGCACACTGTTATTTTCTCTGGTGTTTTTTTTTTTTTTTTCATTTTGAAAATCTGTTTTTAATTTTGAAATTCATCATATAAGTTGGATGTCTGGTGTCAGAGACACAGACCACACCTGAGGACAGATAGTGAGACTGCAAGATTATTGCTTTGCAGTACTGGCAGTATTATCATGGGTCCTCTTAAGGAGCATGCTCAGACATTGACCTTTACTTTAATATATTTAATTGTTGTTAAATATGAGAAAACATCGGTATAACCCAACATGTGATACCTGCTGTACAACCCCTGTTTTTATCTGCAGACAGTCTTTGTGTTGCTGTCTGATCTCACTATAATGAATTTTACCCAACGGCTAGAATGGATGACATGAGCCGTTTTATCCAAAGTGATCACATCACATTCTTTACTATCTGCTGTTTACAACATAATTGCCTCCAAGTACAGCATACTGCGTTGGCAGTACTTGACCTATGATGACTGTGTTTTGTAGATCAGTCACAGTGTGTTACAGGTATTTAGGTGATCAGCTTTCCCTCTTCGTCAGTTTCTGACACCGCCGCCTCACTGCGGGTCTGTTTCTAAAGAATATGTTTCTCTCTGCTGTTCAGCTTTATTCAATATATTTCAAAGAAGAAAAATGAGCAAAGGGAAAATATTTATTAAACATGTCCATGTGTCGTTCATTCAGATTTGTGTTGAAGTGACAGAACTTTTACAAATTTTAAACTTTTCAAATGGTGTCTATATTCTGTACGAGATTTAACAGCTAATTGGCAGCAGTTATCTTCAGATTGCTGTTGTCTGTGATGATATTAAGCACATACCTTCAGCCTGGTGCCTGACACACTGGGTGGCTCTACATTTTTGCAGGAGCAAAGTCAAAGGGCCATAAAGGGGTGTTTGCTGGGAAATCTCTCCTGTTCCTGCTTCATAGTTATTCAAGGAAAAGTTCCCTCAGCAGCAGCAGCAGCAGCAGCGACAGGGGCTTCCACCAAAGACACAGGTGTTGTCAGGTAAGAGCTGAGCTGACATGACACACACACACACACACAGTTAGCTTAATATATATTCTTTCACTATTACTTTTCAGTTGTAATTTTATAATGAGATTGAAGAGAAGCTCGTTACAGGAAGTGTCTCGTCAGAATAAAAGATGCTTAAAGAGGTAGTGTTTTTATCTATAATGTGTAGAAGGCCCCACAATTAAAAACCTACTGAACTGAAGTGAATAAACTGAATGAAACGTGTGTCGGTTTTCTTGCAGGTATATGTTAATAGTAATTACTAGAACTGGGCTGAATCTGAATTAGGATATTAATGTTGTCATTGTCTTTACAGACTTGATCCATGTTTTCACCATGCTGCATTTGAGTAAGGTATGAAAGAGCATTTCTGTAATTTGTAATCTTAATTTTAAAATTCGTTAGGCCTGGTTATTTTTATTTTTATTTTTTTTTTACTACAACTTCTGTTTTCCAAAACCAGGGAGATTTTGTGTGGGTGGACTCTGGTGCTGGGGTGCCGATCGGGGCGGAGGTGAAGCTGACGGACACGGGACAGCTTCAGCTGATCGATGATGAAGGAAAGGTACGCAAACCACCATTTAACAGTGTTGCTGCCGTCAGGTCCCTGGAAGATGAGTGTCTGCCCTCCAATGTAATGTCAACTCTTTCATAACATGCACACAGGAGCACAAGATCAACAAGAAGACGGAGGGGAGCATCCGAGCCATGCACCCCACCTCTGTGAACGGCGTGGATGACATGATAAGGCTGGGGGATCTGAACGAGGCGGGTCTCCTCAGGAACCTCCTGGTGCGACACAAAGAAGGCATCATCTATGTAGGTTTCAGTTCCCCGGTTTTCACTCTCAACCACCTGGTTTTTATGATGCCTATAACCTGCCGTGGAAACGCTTACTCCTCTGCGTCTGCAAATAGCTTTCTATCTTAGACTTTGCCCTGTAGTTTATCACAGTGCCGTTTGTCTCCATAGAGACGAATGAGCCTCTGTTGGACGGAAAGAAAGAAAAACGTCCCAGTGTTTGTGTGTCACTGCATCAAAGCTCAGCACTGTGTTCAGTTATGAATCAGGGCATTTTGTTGTATATAAAAATACTACTGCTGAAATGCCGGCAGCCAAAATTTACTATGACTGATATTCCTTTGTCTTGTACTTGCAAATCATATTGTCAACCACAGTTTAAATCCAATGAAATATATTTAGAACATGCATCTCGTGCGTTGATACCATGACTAAACAAAGGGTCATTGGGGGTCACTGGTTTGATGTTGTGCTTACACCATAATAACTTGTCTATTCTCATGTAAACACACACACACAGACTTATTAAATGTGCCACTGTGTGAAAGTTAATGACCCTCTCTGTCTGAAGACGTACACAGGCTCCATTCTGGTTGCGGTCAACCCCTACCAGCTGCTGCCCATCTACACCACCGACCATGTGCACATGTACACAGATCGACGGCTGGGCGAACTGCCGCCACACGTCTTCGCCATCGCAGACAGCTGCTTTTTCAACATGCGCCGCAACCGAAAGAACCAGTGCTGTGTCATCAGGTGGGACTCCGTCTGCTGACAGGCCGCAGGGATGTGCAGGGATGTGCAGGGACTGCCTCTGATTCAGTTTTATTTGGACTGTGGCAAATAATTGATTGACTGGCTGAAACCTTTGTTTATACAGGGAGAACTCGCTGAGAAACAGGATCTATGATTAAGTCACATTATTTTTTTTATAAGAAATTGACAAGTAGCAGTTACATGATAAAGGGCAATGTAGCAACTAACTTACCACATTTTGATTTTTGGCAGAGAGTTAGAGGAGACTGATATCACATTTATGTCTGTATGGTAAATATGTTTTACCCGCAGCCTTACATTTATCACACAGACATGAGAGTGGTACCATCTTCTCATCTAACGCTAAACAAGTAAGCAAATAGTTCCCAAAGTCTCAAACCGTTCCTTTAAAAATGGTGATGGTCATGGTGATGATGATGATGATGAGCCAGAAGATGAAGTATTTGTGAAACCTATGCTAAAGTAGAAATTCACAAGATGCTCAACGTTGTTCATCTTAAAGCTTCTGATATTTCCCCTTTAAAACAACACGTAACCCAAAATTATGACTTTATTCCCGTTACATTATGACTTTTTTTTATTGAAATATTATGATTTGTTCTAGTAATATTATGACTTAATTCTTGAAATTTTAGATTTTTTTTTCCTCAATGTGTGCAAAATGAAACTAGAAGCTGATTGGCCAAAGGTAAATTTAAGAGCAGACTGCATTGTGTGGCGTGTACACACAATCTCAATACTTCTGAAGGTTGCACAAACACTTGTGTCTGTATTTGTCAAATATAAAATAGTGTCATCTACGTACAAATGGAATAGATCATTATTAATATACAGGATAAACTGTGAATTGAACAGGACCTAAAGTTGATCCTTGTGGAACCCCTTTCTGAATGCCGCAAAGTTTAGGTTGCACACCATCAGCCACAACACATTGAGATTTGTTGTGTAATAATTTATGAACCAGCTAAGGGCAGTTTTGTCAAAAACATTACATCTGTAAGGCGCTTTAAAAACATATGCACCACAAGAGACAGCTGACATGGTAGTATGCTCAGATCTGAAACCAGATTGCAGGTGGTTTGAACCAGATGTTAATTAGAAGGTCAGAAATCTTTCCAGGGCAGGGAGGAATTGAAATGATAAATAATTCTTTATTTTCTCCATCAGTGGAGAGTCGGGAGCAGGGAAAACTGAGAGCACCAAGTTGATGTTGCAGTTCCTGGCTGCTGTGAGCGGACAGCACTCCTGGATCGAGCAGCAGATTCTTGAAGCGAACCCGATCCTGGAGGGTATGAACACGACACCAACATAAAGTTACGAGGCAGTCTTCACGATCAGCTGAATCCTCCATTGTTTCATCAAACATACATTTTCCTCTCAGCTTTTGGTAACGCCAAAACCATCCGCAATGATAACTCCAGCCGTTTTGGGAAGTACATCGACGTCAACTTCACTAAAGGCGGGGCCATTGACGGGGCCCGCGTGGAGCAGTACCTGCTGGAGAAGTCCAGAGTTTGTCATCAGGTGGGGAAAATCAGTCAGCTGAATGTCTCCAGGAGCAGTGGAGTGATACAAATCATTTCTTTTTATTAAAGAACGTGTGTTTTCATGTGCAGGCACCCGAGGAAAGAAACTACCACATCTTTTACTACATGCTGATGGGCATGTCAGCTGAGCAGAAGAAGATTCTTTCCCTTGGGAGCGCTGCTGAGTACAACTATCTGACCATGGTACCGACATCATTTAGAAAACTGAAATTTGAAACAAAAGTCTGTCTTTGTTGATGAGATTTTGAAGAGAAATGCACAGAAAGAAAATCACAGATAACCAGATGAGAGCTGATATTTAGCTTCAAACCGTGTGATGCTGTCACCAGGGTAACTGCACCAGCTGCGAAGGACGGGATGATGTGAAGGAGTACGCCCACTTCCGTTCAGCTCTGAAGATCCTCACGTTCACAGAGAACGACTCCTGGGAAATCTCCAAACTGCTCGCCGCCATCCTTCACCTGGGCAACGTGGACTTTGAAGGTAAGGACACTTTGCAAAGAGATATGTGTGTAGATACTAGATAATAATATCACTCTCATATGTAATAAAATAATTGCATCTTTTAAGATAAGGAACATTTTTCTTGGATAATTTCAGCCACCATAGTAAATAACCTGGAGGGCTGTGAAATCCGCACATCAACCCATTTGAACATGGCTTGCCAGCTGTTGGAGGTATTTGGAGTATTTTTTTTGTGTGTGTGTTTTTTTTTTATGGAAGTAAATAAAAAGAGCGGAGATGACCACGTCTCTTTCCTCAGGTGGATCCCAAAGCGGTGGAGAAGAGTCTGACGCAGCGCTCCTTCATGACCACCAGGGAGAGTGTGACCAAACCTCTGACCTCTGCCCAGGCCGTGGATGGCAGGGACGCCTTTGTCAAAGTAACCAAGTCACATTCGACACAACGAGAACAAGAATCTGGGCATCTCTTGTTGGTGTTTTAAAATCAAAATCAAGTTACAATAAATAACAACAAAAACAGCCTCAAAATGATAAATACCAAATAGAGATTTTAGCAATTACCAGAATTATTTAGTTATTATTACTTATTATTATTATACTACCTTTTTCAATACAGAATTTAGAAAAATTATGAGCATTGTACATTGTACATATTTGGATAGTATTTTTTTGTCAATATTATTACAATAATATAATAGTATATATAATATTATTATATATTATATAATATCATAATATAATATTATGCTGTTCTCTTTATTATGTATCCAGGCTATTTATGGAAAACTCTTCATTTGGATCGTGGACAAAATCAACAGTGCCATTTACAAGCCGCTGGAGACTCCCGATGAGGTCCGACAGTCAATAGGCCTGTTAGACATCTTTGGCTTTGAGAACTTCACCAAAAACAGGTTCGTGACCGCAACACTTCTCATGATATTAGAGCTTTGTTGTGGCTGTTTTTTAGACACAGGAGACATTTTTTTTATAAGTTGAGACTTGATCCATCTTCCTTTCTTCTTTTCGATGCTGGTGGATTTGTTGAACTGCTGCAGCTTTGAGCAGCTTTGCATCAACTACGCCAACGAGCAGCTGCAGCAGTTTTTCGTCAGGCATGTTTTCAAGCTGGAGCAGGATGAATACGCCCGTGAAAACATTGTTTGGAAGCACATTGATTACAAAGACAACCAAGGCACCCTGGACGTACTGGCCAACAAACCCATGAACATGCTGGCTCTTATTGACGAGGAGAGCAACTTCCCCAAGGTCTCCGTCCTCTCTGCGCCTTTCAACATTGTGTTGTGACAAAGCGAAGCAGGTTTTAACCCTTTCTTGTTCATCTTCAGGGCACAGACACCACCATGCTCCAAAAAATGAATCAGGTCCATGGAAAAGGGGAAATCTACATCCCCCCCAAGAACAACTATGAGACACAGTTTGGGATCAAGCATTTTGCTGGAGTCGTCTACTATGATTCAAAAGGTAATTCTGAAGCTTTTAAAAGCAGCAACTCGTTTCTGCTCATCCTGTGTGATGTTCTAATCTGCGTCCGTCTTTGTTTTGAGGTTTCCTCGAGAAAAACCGTGACTCCCTCAGCTCAGACCTGATCCAGCTGGTGGAAACCTCGACCAACAAACTCCTCAAACAGGTGTTTCACAAGGAGCTGCAGTCCGGCACGATCAAGAGCAGCGCCAACCCGAAGATGGTCATCATCACGCCCAAGAGCAGCGTCCGGGTCAGTGCGGCCTTTAGCTTCAGCGCCAGACGCAGCTGTAATCAGCTGGAAAGTATAAAAATACCATTAATGTATGGAATCACTTGTGTCTGACAGCAAGCATCTGACAGCAAGAAGCATGTGGCGACTCTGACGGGCCAGTTCCGCCAGTCTCTGGATTCCCTGATGAAAACGCTGACGGTGTGCCAGCCCTATTTCATCCGCTGCATTAAACCCAACGACTTCAAGAAGCCCATGGTGAGGAGAGAGAAGCTGTGTCCACAAACCGGTTCACGTCTTTAATGAGACAACTCAGTGTGAGTAAATCAGATTCCTCTCTTCTGTGTCTCAGCTGTTCGACAGAGAGCTGTGCATCCGTCAGCTCCGCTACTCGGGGATGATGGAGACCATCAGGATCCGGAAAGCCGGGTATCCTGTGCGCTACACCTTCAGCGAGTTTCTAGACCGCTACCGCGTCCTTCTGAAAACGTCCATCTGTGATCCCAAAACGGTGAGTCTGAGGATTTAATGATCATTTTCACCTCACACCTTTTTTTAAGACCATGGTTGTAAGATCTGTTTGAGATACTCGTAACGCGGGTCGAGAGAGACAGAAACGTTTGGATGATCAATAAATCGTGATGCTGAAGTGACATTTTCCAACGCAGCTGCACCTGAGACGTTTGGCCATGTGTGAAAATGTTTCTTTCTTACAGGAAAGTAAAGAGAAATGCTGCGAGAGCATTTGTGAAAGCGTGCTCGCTGGAGAGGGCGACTGGAAGACCGGCAAGACCAAGATATTCCTGAAGGTGCGGCTTTTTTTCTTTTTTTTTAACATATATATATATACAACCCTGTTGTTAGTGATGGTGATGTATGGAATAATAAAACAGCCAAAAATAATTTAAATTTAAAAAGTAACTGAATTACTTATTGTATCTACTTATAAACCATCCATCTCAATTTATACTGTATGGATTTCCTTGATTTTTAAATATTTTTTTAGATAGAAAAGTCAAACTTATTTCCTCTAAACACTTGTTACAATCATCATATAATGAAGTTAATTTACTCCATTTTGTATAATTTAGCATTAGTTAAACCAGGAGGAGCATTCTTGTTTTCAATTTCTCTGGGTTTTTTTGTTGGATTTGTGTCAATTCAGCAATTTCCTGTACATGCTGAGTTATACAGTATATTGAATGTAAAATTCTACATTTCATGGTGTTAAAAAATATATATAAAAATATTATGGCACAGAAACGTAACAATATTCCAAAAAAAACAATATTCAAGTTGCTCAAATCAAGTGCTTTGATAGGTGTTTGTATTTTTTGTCCAACAAAATAATAAAATAATACTCGCTGCTGGTTTTTTCTCTCAGGACATCCATGACACAATGCTTGAACTGGAGCGAATGAAAGAACTCAACATGAAAGCACTTTTGATCCAGAAAGTCCTGAGAGGCCACAAATACAGGTACGGGAAAAAAAAAGAAAAAAGAAAAAAGAAAATGTGTAAAATGTGTTTGTTGTTGTTGTTGTGATCTGCAGTTTACACGTCTGTACGTTTTATGTCTTTCACAGGAGAGAGTTCCTGAGGAAAAAGGCCGGCGCTCTCGTCATTCAGAAATACTGGAGAGGACACAAGGGCAGAAAACTGTACAAAGTGGTGAGTCGCTGTTTAATATATCAGCGTTCATCCAAGTGTAAATTCAGACCCGGCTTGCAAAAAAAAAAAAAAAAAAAAACCCATCAGTTATGTTGTGTATTTAGGTTCAGCTGGGCTTTGCCAGGCTGCAGGCGCAGGTTCGCTCTCGCCAGCTCCACTTCCTGTACAAGAAGAAGCGGGAGGCGGCCCTCGTGCTGCAGACCCGAGCCAGAGGATACCTGGTCAGGAAGGAGTGGAAGCGCAAGAGAGATGCTGTGATCCTCCTGCAGGCGCACACCAGAGGAGCGCTGGCAAGGAAAGCTCTCAAAAAAATGAAAAGAGATGTGAGTTAAATATTGTGAATTATGAAGTCCCTCCTGGTTTTTATCTTCTGTACTTCTCCTACATTACAAAACACCTCTTCTTTCAGATGTACCTCTCTGCTAAAGAGAAAGAGGCGGAGCAGCAGGCCATCTTGGAGAGGCAGAAACGCTTGGAGGAAGTGCTGCGGCAGAAGAAAGAGATGGAGACCAAAGCTCAGTCAGAATCCGTCACGGACCAGGAGATGGTGGACAGCATCTTTGGCTTCCTGCCCACTATCATCGGAGGGCAGGAGGGGCAAGCGCCTGTGGGATTTGAGGTTGGGGAACCAAAGGTTTTACACAGAGACATTTAGTTTTTTTTACTCGTCAGACGGTCGGTCACCGTGTGTCTGTGTCTGCTTTCAGAACTTGGAAGGGAAAAAGATGATAACCGAGGAGATAGACATCGACGACGTCCCCATGGAGGAAGATCTTCCCGAAGAAGACTACGACGACCTGGATGAGTACTCCTTCTCCAAGTTCGCCTCCATGTACTTCCAGGGTGCAGCCACTCACACCCACATCCGCCAAAGGCTCCGGCAGCCTTTACTCTACCACGAGGACGAGGGAGACGTTCTGGTGCTTTTCCTTTTGAGACCATTTGAGTTTCATCATTCCAGTTGTTTTTCAGTCTTTGTTATTTCATTAACAGCATTTCCGTTGCTGTGTTTTCTCCAGGCTTCGCTCACAGTGTGGTGGATCATTCTCAGGTTCATGGGAGACCTTCCTGAGCCGAAGAAGCAGGTGAAGGTCCAGGGAACCTCCACACAGGAGCGCATTCTGCCGCAGGACCTGCTCTCCAGAAAGGACAGGCGTCTCAGCCACATGGTGGGCCTGGACCAGGTAAACATCCTTACAAAGCCGAAGACATGATACATTTTGAATATTTCCTCAGTTTGTAAAATGATATTAATTGTAAAAATGTCATTTCTGTCTGTCGTAGAGAGTGCTGAGGAATAAAAAGGACGCAAAGCCTTCCACAGTCCCGGAGGAGCCGACACAGAACAGAAAGAGCTCCATTTTCACAGACCTGCTGACGAGGAACAGGAAGGCCTCCGCCGCGCCCGGCGAGACCGCTCAAAACCCGAAGGTGTACACTGTACCAGAGGGAAGTGCACGAGCGAGGAAGGGATCCACTTTCACTGACCTGCTGTCCAGAAACAGAAAAGCATCCACCGTTCAAGAAAACGCTCTCCCGAGATCTACTCCCAGTTACAGGAAACCCTCCATCATCATGGAGGAGGTGAGCTGGAAGCCTAAAAAATAATAATAAATAACTGAACTTAGTGTTGCTGTTTCCTGGTTTTAACTTACTGAAGTTATTTTCTCCTTCCAGTCAGAGGACCAGACTGAAGTGTCCAAGCCTCCCGCCCTGCCGCCTGTGAAGGAGGACAGCGACCCGATGGTTGAAGAAGGACCCACTCTGGACCGGCCGCTAACCTCTCTGGAAAAACTCCACATCATTGTGGGATATGCTATTGTCAGACACGACCTCAGGTTCAAGAAGCTGCACATTTAAAACCATTTACTTCTCAGTATCTTATTCCAAACTCTCTCATGATACATGATATCTGTCTCTTTGTCCGTCCAGGGACGAGATTTACAGTCAGATCTGCAAACAGCTTCAGGATAACAACAATCGCAACAGCTACTTCCGTGGTTGGATCCTGTTGTCCCTCTGCCTGGGCGTTTTCCCCCCGAGCGAGCGCTTCATAAGGGTAAATACCACAGTTGTATTGGCTACTTCACTCTCATGCTGGTGCTCGCTCTCTGTGACGTTTGGCTCGTTGCCTTTTATCTCTCGTCTCGGCAGTATCTGCAGAGTTTCATCCGCTCCGCTCCGGCGGGCTACGCCTCCTACTGCGCTGAAAGGCTGCGGCGCACAGTGATGAATGGAGTGAGAGGGGAGCCTCCGACCTGGCTGGAGCTGCAGGTACTGAGACCGACATGCGGCGTTCTTGCAAATATTCAAAGGGTCATTTCACCCAAATAAAAGAAAAGCATATATTTTCTCACCAGGCAGAGAAACAGTTTTATTTGTCTGTTATTTTATATCTGACATGTCTGATGCCGGTGGAGGTCAAATTTGCTTTAAGGAAAAACCTCACAGTGAACAGTTTATTTATAAACCAGGACTAATTAAACCTAAACTGTATGCACCTCTAGACGCCTCCAGAGGCAACTGAGAAAATGTAATTTAAATATAATTTGGGTGAATCGACCGTTCACACTTTAATTCATAGAAGGTTTCGTTTCCAGTTAGTGAACAAGGTCATTTCTCTGTCCTCTGGCAGGCAACCAAGACGAAAAAGCCCATGATTGTGTCCGTGATACTGCTGGATGGGCGTTCGATAAACCTGCCGGTTGACTCCGCATCGACCTCCAAAGAGATCTGCCAAGTCATCTCCAGCAAAGTCCGACTCAAGGACACCTTCGGCTTTTCCCTCTACGTGGCTCTGTATGAGAAGGTACGCAGTCACAGCCAACACTGTGATGACGTGTCGCACTTCCTAAAGAGAACAGGCGCGTGTCCGCCACACTGTCCGAGTAGCTACAAAAGGCCCCACATTTAAACATCCTGTATATTGTGAAAATATAAATATGAAATGTTTCAGAAAACTTTTAAAGCAAGTTAACATTTTTTTTCCTTGATGTTTTTGTTATAACAACTGTTGACGTGTCCTGAAGGTGTGGGCTCTGGGCGGCGGCCGGGAGCACGTGATGGATGCAATCTCCCAGTGTGAGCAGGAAGTGAAGAGGAGGGGGGGGCAGGAGCAGCACGCTCCCTGGCGTCTCTTCTTCCGCAAGGAGGTGTTCACCCCCTGGCACGACTGTGACGAGGACAAGATCAGCACCGACCTCATCTACAGGCAGATCGTCCACGGCCTGAAGTTTGGAGAGTACCAGAGTGAAAAGGTGCGGGGTTTACATCGAGGTTTATCTTCGACAAGAATCCTCCAAACTTCCAGTCATGCACTTCAATAAATCTTCCCACATTTCACTTCACACAGGAGGAGGATCTTGTTCAGCTCGCTGCAAAACATCTGTACGTCCAGCACGGCTCGGACAGCAGCCCAGAAAACGTGAAGCAAGCCGTTCAGGATTGCATCAACAGCTCTCTGCTGGAGGCCAAGTCGGAGGCCAAGTGGGTGCAAATGATCAGCACTGCTCACGCTGAGGTCGGTCCCGTCGCGTAGAGAGTTTTAACCCATCACAGTCTGTCTCCAACGAGTGCTTCAGTAGATTCTGATTCCAGTCTGTCGTTCTTAAAGGGTTCATATCTGAGTTCAGGGCAGAAGACGGATTCAGTGAAGGCGGAGGCGGTCGACTACGCCCGGAAGAAGTGGCCCATGTTCTTCTCCAGGTTCTTTGAAGTGGTCAAGCTGTCAGGTAGACGTCTGTTAGCGTCGCTCTACTGTCCTCGTGTGTGTCTCTATCTACAGCTTGACAAATCACTGCAAGTGCATTCATTTACATTCATGCAGAATGGTTATAGTGACAGTAAATGACACCGTTGGGTGACAGAGATAAGTTACTAAATAGAACTGAATTGATTTAATGTCGATTGAGAACATAAACTGTGGACAACACAGACATTTCTACACTTTCCTCAGCGATGTGGAGACAAACATTTTTTAATGATCGGCAGCGAACCTCCTTTGAGCAATTAGCTGTTGCTGCTTTTTGTATCTATGTCAGACTGGAATATACGAGGCTATTTATAGAGACGCCGTACCGCTGGGGTTAAGACTCCAGCAAAGCAGCTGATTAGCAGGGAAGAAGTGGGTTAGGAACAACATCCCCTCCTTCTCTGTTTGCAAAAATACATACATACATACATACATTCATACATACATACATCTGAGGTGTCCAGTAACGAGCTCTGAGGACTTCTCCTCACAGCTCAAATTTAATTAAAAAAGTTATTACAGGAGTCTCCTGTTGAACAACTAATACGTCTTGATGCTTTATTTTGAAATGGTACAAAAACGAATCAACAATTTTGTATCAATAATAAGTTTGTAATAAAAATTAGAAACTTCTTCTCTTGTGAATTGTGCATGTTTGAGTTTTGGATCGTTGGTTAGAGACGTCTCTTTGGTCTCCGGCAGCTTGTAACGAACACATGTCACTATTTCCTGATTCGTTTTATAGACTAATCAATTAATCAACAGAACAACTGATGAACTGATGGTGAAGATGATGTTTAGCTGCAGCCCTAAAGTGATGATACAGCCTCTACTACGGTACACATTATCGCTGGACAGGAATATACTAATCATATCTCCCGTGACTCATGATTTATCTGGCTTGTTTTTTTCCGATGGACGTATCCAGGTCCTCCGCTGCCAAAGAGCAAGTTCATTGTGGCCATAAACTGGACTGGTATCACCTTCCTGGATGAAAGAGAGAAGAGGCTGCTGGAGCTCTCCTTCCCCGAAGTGACAGGAGTCAACACCGTGAGGTAGAGGCAGTTAATTATTGGTCCAGGTGCAGCGTCGGAGAAGGAAGCACCTTATACAGCTGTATGCAAATGCAAATAATACAATTCGTTGCTTTTTAAAAGGGAAATGAAGTAAATGCAGCACGCAGACATTAAAGATGAGCCTTTCCCCTCGCAGCTTCTCAGGAAGTTTCGGTACAAGTTCTGAGATTCAGAGATATTTTTAGGTGATGATGAAGATGTTGGAAACATGGGGACAGTGAGGGCCTTTCCTAAATCTTCAGCTTGTGTTTCTTGATGCATTCAGAAAATCCTGATATTTAGTGGAACCCATTCTTCCCTCCGTCTGTACAGGGTTTCCTGTGTCCTTCGGTTGCTACACAACCCCCCCCAAAAGCGGAATATTTCCACCTCCATGCTAAACGTTTGGCAAGCTTCCCGCTGCTTCTTTGCAGTCACACGGGGGGGTTGTTTTGCCTTTCTGTCCAGCAGACGTGTGGTTTTCCCATTTCTTGATGACATTTCACACAGTGGGAAATTCAAGCTGGACTCACTCTGATATCTTTGATTATCAGTCAGCTTCATGTTCAGATCCTCACTCGGTCGCTAAGAGGAGCACGTGGCTGCTGAGTGTCATAGTGATAATGATAATTATTGCAGGTCCTAACCAGTCGGGTAAGACCTAATGAAGCTCTGAGTTTTACAAACTGCAGGCTGCTCAAACTTTGGCGCAGTCCACAGTTCTTTAAAGTTCAGCCGGGCGGCTCTGTAGCACCACATTTCACCTTTTGTCAAAAACTTGCAGCTCCTGCAATTTGGATATCGCAGTTGAGCCATATTGTGATTTGGATAATATCTCGATTACTTGTTCAGCCCTAGTACATATCATCAGTTACATGATTTAATACTGTGTTTCTGACTCGGCTGCGACGCCCGCCCAGGGAGGGAAAAGCGTCGGCGCAGGCGGTGTGTCTGCTGACGCTGAAAGGAGACTTCACTCTGAGCGGATCTGCAGCTGACGACATGGCCGAGCTGGTCACCATGTTCCTCAGTGGACTGACGGAGCGATCCGAGTATGCCGTGGCCCTGAAGGAGGTCGACAGACAAGGTCACAGAGTGTTTCTTGCGTTATCCCTTCTCGCTGATAACTTTTGCTGATTTGCTAACTGGCCGATTTCCTCTGTTCCCCTGCAGATGATCCCACGTTCCTCAGCTTCAAGAAAGGAGAGCTCATTCTAATCATCAAAGACGATGAGTTTTCTCAGCAGGGTGGCTGGATAAAGGGCCAGATTGGGGGCGCAAAACAAACAGGAGCCATCCCCACTGACGCCATCTTGATCCTACCAACGCTCAGCAAACCCACCTACGAGGTCATGGTACGGAGGCGCCAGTGACGACGTCTTTTCTCGTGTGAGCGACTGTGTCCTGGTTCTGTGGAGTATTACATGCTCTCTTTTATTTTCAGAGCCTCCTCAGCCTGCCTCCTAACCAGAGGAAGACCATCATACAGGCAAACCAGAAAGAAACGGGGACTGTGGAGAGACAGGCTCCTGCCACGTTGAAGGAATTCTCCCTGGAGTACTTCAGGTATCTGGAAAACGCTCTGAGTTACTACATGTCTGCAGGAAAATGAACTGAACAACAACGCTGACTTCAAGCATCTGCATCTTGTGTCCTTCATCCTGCAGGCAGCCCACTAAGGACGTTAACCGTCAGGTGATTTCCAGGAATGCTGCTCCTGAGAGGCTGTGGGCAAACTCCAGAGAGCCAATCAGACAGCCCCTCCTCAAGAAACTGGTGGGCAACCCCGAGCTGAGCCACAAAGCATGTCTGGCTTTCACTGATATCCTATATATACCTGAATTATACCGATCAGTGCAGTTAAAACCATTGATTTATCTATTTATCTATTTACAGGGTTTAGTTTTCCACCAGCTGCAGTAAATATCAACAAACACGTGACAGAATGTGGATGAGCGTCCCTTCCTAATTTAAAGGTCACATATTATATAAAGTGAGATTTCCGTGTGTAGTGTGATTATAGATCAGGTCTAGCTTCTATATTAATACTGTGAAAGTATCAAAGCCTCAGTCCACAGAGAAATGCACACAGCCTGTATTCAGAAACTGAGCCTTAAAACCAGCCGTCAGGACTTCCTGTAACTTTGTGATGTCACAACAAAGCAGTCACCAAGCCCCGCCCAGCTGAACCCACCATCCAGACCTTGCAGGATTTGGTTTTTACCTGAAATCTGCTGTATTCTTATTCTATCATTCAAGGAAACAGTCAGCCAATCAGAAGAGAGGCTCAGAGCCTCCTCTCTTCTGATTGGCTCACCGACCTGTTGATACTAGAGCTCCAGAGAGAGGAGATGTAAAACTACACTGAGATGGTTTTTGGTTCTTAAAACCACAAATATATCTTTTTATAGATCAACACTTGTAAAATATGGGACCTTCAACAACATTAAATGATGTTTTTACGCTGCAGTGAGTATCAGGCTGTGATGTTATAAATCTACTGAGCCGCCTGACAGGTGACTCAAGCAAAGAGCAGATACTCAGCTGCTTAATCAGGCCTTACAAAGAATCTACACTTGAATGCCATGACCTGCTCAGCTGTGCAGCTGTCACCTGTTTTTATTACAACCCCTCTGGTATCAGTGACATGACCTGTCTTTCCAAAACAAAAACAAATGGTTTCTATCTGACGAGTGTGTGCAGGATCATCAGGTGGCCTGCAGCACAGAGAAGGCTTCACTGCGCGCGTCCAGTATCCTAGAAACCACCGCCCTGTTTGCCTGCACTCATACCCTCGACACAGCCCCCTGCAGTATGCTAAGCTAGCTCTGGAAGCTTACAGCGTAACCCACCAAGCTAACCAAACTAAACTTCCTCTGCTCCCGTAGTGTAGCAAGCAGCAGCCATGGCTTTTCTTATTTCCAAACTTTATGAGACCAGGATGTTCGTTTGTTCCTCCTTGACTGCTGTGTACCCATCCTGAAATATATGGGAGATTACCCCACCAAGCAGATGCAGAGTCCCCTGGAGCTCACCGACCAGATCTTCGGCCCCGCCACGCAGAATGAGGCGCTCAGGGACGAGATTTATTGTCAGATAATAAAGCAGATGAGCAGCAACAACAACCGGTACGTGTCACCGTGTCAGGCTCTCGGCTTTATAGATCTTTATGGACTCAAGACTGAAGATTTGTACAATAGAAAATGTGTGAATTTACTGTACATTCAAAAACTGCTTTCACTCAGCTTCAGTAACATTTGTATTTATGGCATGTCCGTATGATAATGAGGCAGCGGCCGTGGGGTTTAGTCCCATTCTGTTACTGCAGATTATAAAGTGATGCAACAATCAGTTTATTGACAAAAAAACAGTTTTGATTTTCAATTCAAATTGAGAGTTTTGGTCTTTTTTTTTTTACTTTAAAATGTTCTGTGTTTCCAGCTTCTCTCTGTTTTATGTCATTGTCAACTTTACCAAACTAAATCTAAACAGGATCTGTGAATTTAAGCAGCTAGAACTCTTTATTTAGACAGTAGGAAGTGCAAACTGTTAAAACAAACAAAAAAAAGAAGACAAATCTGACACTTTCTTTCCAAAAGTGGAAGTGAAATGGAACCACCCTCCCATGTTTCGGTGCAAGAGAGTGGATCAAAACACAAACCAGGGCTCCCGTTTCATCACAAGCTTATCGGTGTCTTTGTCCGTCCTCCAGGTTCAGCATGGAGCAGGGCTGGCAGCTGCTGTGGCTCTGCTGCGGCCTGTTTCCCCCCAGCCAGTCTCTTCTGAGACACGCTCAGCGCTTTCTGGAGTCTCGCCGCAGAGAGCCCTTGGCCCACGATTGCCTGCGGCGGCTGCAGAGCTCTCTGAGGTTAGATCAACACCATCGCCACCGCGGGGGGAAACGCAGAGCTGTGTTTCCATGTGTTTCAAGAAGAAGTGTGTGTGAGAGATGAAAAGTGTGTGGTGAAAGCTTCTGCTCCTCCCTTATTTCATAATAACAATTAGTGGGTGTGTGCAAACAGCAGCAACATAATTTATAGAGCAGCTGTACAAAATGCACAAGGCAGTTGCAACACTACGAGCAGCGTTAGCAGCCACCACGACACGACATGACACCATGACTGGTGTGGTGAGAAAAGGAAATGTCAGGCCGTTGTGCCTCATGTTCTTCTTATGCTTCATAAAGGCTGAACCATTAGACCTGAGCTGCAGTGTTTGGACTTGATCTATGTTCTGTGAGGGCGAGTTGAGCAGTTTAAAGCAGCAGTTCTCACACCGTCAACAGAGTTCCATACAAATGTGTTGCATCACCTTCACAGTGAGTTGACCGCACTTAACATCTGCATTTGCATGGCCTCCCTCTATAAATACATACGATTTACATTCAGTACAACCGACGTTATGACGGCTTATGTCTGATCCGCGGTGTTTCATTCTGTGATGAAGCACCTGCTCTGCAGCGGGACCTGCGACTAACTGTCAAAATGATAAAGTGAAGCAATACTGCGTGAGTCACACAATGTCTGTCATTGTGCAGGATGGAGCCCAGGAAGCTGCCGCCACACCAGGTGGAGGTAGACGCCATCCAGCAGAACAGCATCCAGATCTTCCACAAAATCCACTTCCCCAACGACACAGGGGAGGTACGAGCCTGCACATAGGAATGTAGAAATACAACATTTTAAGAGGCTATTATATTTTTTTAAATTTTACACGTGACATCTTCACTTGACTCTCATCCCTTTGGTCTCATCGCAGATATTCGAGGTTTCCACCAGCACCAGGATCAGGGATCTCATTCAGAACATCAGCAACAAGCTCGGCCTGGCCTCGGCAGACGGCTTCAATATTTTTGTCAAAACACACGACAAGGTCCGCGTCACTTTTTCTCAACCTCACACTCTCTCTCTCTCTCTCATGCGACTGTCCAGCTCAACCTCTGTATTTGCTGTTTCTTTCAGGTCCTCAGTTTGAATGACGCAGATTACTTCTTTGACAGTCTGAGACAAATCACTGACTGGTCCAAGAAATCCAAGAGGATTAAAGACGGTAAAACAAAACATCACGTGATTAAAGAGACAGTCAGACACTTGATTGTTCTCTGTATTTACCTGTGAAAAACCTTTGTGTGTGTGTGTGTGTGTGTGTGTGTGTGTGTGTGTTGTGCAGGTGGGCCAGTCAACATATCCTACCTTGTGTTCTTCATGAGGAAGTTGTGGTTCAATGTGATCCCTGGCAGAGACACAGAGGCCGATCTTATCTTCCATTTCCCTCAGGTACATTCATTTGAATGTTTGTAGCTCAGGCACCATCACATTTTCCAGGCTGATCAGTTTTTTCCACATGATGTGAAAGACAAATCTCTCCATGAACATAATGTGGCCCCTGACATGTGGAGCAGATAGCATCAGAACCACCCAGCCATGGCCTATAAAACAGACTGTAAACTATTATTATATTTTTCCTCCTAATCAACAACTTGAACGAATGAACAAGTAGGAAACTTTAAACTTTAAACACGAAACATCTGATCTGAAATACACTTGTGGTGGTGGTGACATATTGCTCTTCCCACACTGGGACCTGCTGCACCTGCCTCTCCCTCGGCTCCCATCACCTGAGTCAGCAGCTTCACCGACCACCGGCTGGAGTTGGGAACAGGCTCGATTGTGGTTTGGTCTCTTGCGTTGTTGTTGTTGTTGTTTAAAAAATGTTCGCTATCTCTTAAGAGCTAGTGTGCCTGAAGGAAGTCTAAGAAAACAAATTCTACTCCTCCTTATATTTCGGCGGGACTTTTATCTGGGTGGCTCGCCCGAGTAAGAAAACATCCCTTCTCTCTTCCAGGAGCTGCCTAAATACCTGAGAGGCTACCATGTCAGCACCAGAGACGAGATGGTCAACATTGCGGCGTTGCTCTTCAGGATAAAGGTCAGCAATGACAAGACCCAGCTGGTCATGATTCCCAAGATGCTGAGGGAGCTTGTGCCGGCCGACCAACTGAAGGCCACGTCTGAGAATGAGTGGAAGAAGGTATGACGGGCTTTTCTCTTCATGGATTTCATCTCTTTACTCCCTGATCTGCTGGTTACCGGCTCTAAATCTCAGAGTCTTGTAGTCAGCAGATCCTGTGGAGAGCTGAGGGTCGACAGTGCAGTAGTTTGAGACGCCCTCGTCTTGTCCGTGGCTCTCAGCCCCACGTCCATTAGTTCTGGCCATTTTCTTTGTCCTACACTTTCTTTTTTTTTTTTGATGCTCGCTCTTTAATCTAGTTTAACTTTTTCTTGTAAAGCACTACATAAATAAAGTTATTATTACTGATGAGTGCAGGCCCTTTGAGGAGAGAGGCTGAGGTTTTGATGTTTTCACAGAATTGTTAACGATAAGAGAAATAGAGAATATCACCGGACTTGTCTTTTAAACCGTCATACGAACAATCTCACCATTATGCCGCTGCTGTGATCTCTGTCTCAGCTCGAGCTCTTTTTGCCTGAAGGCTGTGGGGGTGTTAGAAAATCATTAACCTCATAAAACGCAGTGCAAAACCCCCCTTTTTTTTTTTTATAAAACCGGAGCGTTGCATCGTTCTGTGATATTTTCCTTCTTTTAATTTTCAGAGCATCTCTGGTTATTATAACAAACAAGCCGGGATGACTGTCGACGAAGCCAAGGTGGCATTTCTGAAGGCGGTGTGTCGCTGGCCGACCTTCGGCTGTGCGTTCTTCGAGGTGAAGGTAAGGGCGTCAGTGAAAGCGGCACACATGGCGCTTTATCTTGTTATCTGCCGTCCACTCGGTCGATTGGCTGGATGGGTGGTTTATTAATGTGATGCTTCAGCGGTCTGTCACGGGCTCCGTCACCGCGCTGCGCTAACTGCAAAACTGTTTTTTCTCATTTGTCTTTCTCAACTCTCTTCTCAGCAAACATCAGAACCAAATTTCCCAGATATCGTGCGAATTGCCATCAGCAAGCAAGGACTCACAATCATCCACCCTAAAACCAAGGTTAAAGAAAAATCTATCAAAAATAATCCTTAAGAGTCAACATCCTGTTCTTACCCCCCCCCACACACACACGTTAACTTTCTTTTCTCTTGTAAAGGATGTTTTGGCAAATCACCCATTCAACCGCATCGCTAACTGGTGCAGTGGAAGCACCTACTTCCACATGACTATCGGCAGTTTGGTCAAGGGAAGCAAGTTCCTGTGCGAGACCTCGCTGGTAAGATCTGTCATTAGACATGAGGCCAACTCTCTTATAAGTTAAAGTTTTGTCCGTTTCATTTCCGTTTCTCTTTACGTCTGCGTCTTCTTTTTTAAAAGGGTTACAAGATGGACGATCTTATAACCTCCTACGTCAACATGTACCTCAGAGAGAGGACGGCGGGGCAAACCAGGAACCAGCGCTTCAATATTTGAGCCAATGAGTGTGACGCCAAACCCCCGTAACTGCAGGTGTTAAACCGCCACACTCCATATTTGGTTCATACGTAAAGAGGCAGAGCGCAAATAGTGCAATCAGCTTTATTTGTGCTGTGTGAGGAGGAAAAGACGTTGATTTATTATGTGAAAGAAACACATTTTTATTTAAAACTAATATTTCTGTAGCATGTGTACAAGTAACGTAATCTGAAGGGAAGAGGTGTTGTCGAAGACGGATGAATTAGAAAACAATTAAATGCGTCTTCTATCTCCTGTCCAGAAACAAATATAAAAATATTATATATAAAAATGAGTTGAATAAATGTAAAAAACTAATTGTATTCTCTGTGTATTTTTCCAACTTTAAATTCCGGTAATTTAATAAAATATGGCGTTGAAATGTTGCCGTGTTGCATTTAGGTGCAGGTCGAAAACTCCAATGTCTGTTTCTTTTTCAACTCATTCATATAGAAATTGTAAAGTTTGTTATCTAAATCTGAACACTCACAATTTCCTATGTTTTAGGTATTTATCTGCACACGAAGCAAAGTTTTACATCTTTCTAATTTGGAGGTATTTGTTTTTTGGGTAAAAAGAATAAACATAATTTATTCACAAACCACTTTATACATTTGTAAATTTTTGTTTACAAATTATTTCCTCTCCAAATTAATGTGCCTGCCTTTAAAAAGTTATGTTTATATTCCCACTGAAAATGGACTGTGTGTCGCTTGGTTTCAATTCTCACAGTTCAACAGTTGAAATGCAATTTTTGTTGTTGTTGAATCCTGTAGTGTTTACACTCGTGTTTGCTTGCTGGCAGTCTGCCACGTGTCCATAACGCAAAGAGTGTGAAACCCGAGGGGCAGGTTGTGAATCGTGTGGCCTCGTGTGGTTTTGCGGTTTGTTTAATCCTGCTGCACGTTCACGACACGAACAAAAGTTGGACTCGCCAGTTAAAACATTTTCTCCACAGTGCGAATAGTGGTGGGAAAACTCCTCAGGGTGCCTTTAAAATAAGCCTTAATCCTAAGTGCTTCAAATGTTTTTGCATTTGCATATGAAAATATTCAATGAGACATTTATTGTTGAGAAAACAATTTTCAAATAAAAGATTCTCCCAGTTGGTGAGATGAGCTGCCCTCGAATGTTGTGAGCATCTTATTTTCCATCAGCGTTTCAGCAGCTGGCAGAGACGCTCGGTGCTTTTGATTGAACCTTCGCAGCAGAAAGAAGAATGATATATTTATGATGGCAAGCACTCGCACAAGGCAATGTTTTCGCTTCAGGGTTATGAGACGCACAACAGACAGAGCTTGAGCAGCCGAACAAAAGTCAGGGTTGGGGGGGGGGGGGGGCTGAGCCGCTGGCAGTAGATTAACAGGGTAGTGGTGTCGAAGCCTCTCCACAGTCCCGCGCAGATAGTGGCTTCATTCAATCCCACAGAATACCATTTGCATATCGATGATAGAGAGAAGAGAAAGCTCCATGTATCTGACACACAGCTGTGAAATCCCTGCATGAAAGAAATATTATCCCCCCCCCTCCCCTCAGCCAGCGGGTCTCCTCCACATCTGTCTGATGGCTATGCGACTGATTATTTTGGGCATTCCAATTCAGGATGCCCCCAGGAGGCAAGAGACCAACAAGGGCCTCTGTTTCCTCCAGGCGCCCCCCCCTCCCCTCTCTCCCTCCCTCTCTCCCCTCTCTTGTTTTTAACTCGCTCTCCTATAGTGCATGGGGCCCTCTTTACAACTCGACAGACCATCTACAAAAGATCATCTCTGAGACTTAAGTCATAAACTTCTCAATTGACAACACAGTCCATCTTCTATCTATCAGCGGCGTGGTGGGGGGGGTGGAGGGGGTTGTTCACGGTTAAAGGCAGTGGGTGCACCACTAGGCTCGGTTTCCATGGAGTCATACCCGACGACTCATTGCGACTGAGGCATGCCATTCTTCTCCCCGCCGCTAAAATGTGCTGCTTATTCTGACTCAGGCTATTGTGAAGCGCACAAGTGGCTCTCTGAGGAGAAGGGTATGGAGAAAGAAAGGGTGGGGTCAAGGTTCAAACGAGAAGCTCCCATCAGGACTCCCTTTCTGTTATCAAATTTGTTGAGACACAAAAAGAGCTACAGTCTTATTCCCCGAGAGCATATTGAGGGAGAGGGAGAGGGATGGAGGGGGGGGGGGGTTATAGGAGAGCATTCTTTGCGGCAGGGCTTCAGTTCTTCCACGGCTCAGCGGACTAACTCCCAGTCTTCAGTCTGATCTACATACAACTGCTGTGCAAGTCTGTGCCGCTGCTGCTGCTGCTGCTGATTGTTGCTCCTTAAAGGAACCGACCTTTTTCTTCTGCCGGCTGAAGATCCCTGGAGCTTGGGTGAGTCTGAATCCGTCCTGAGACTTTGACTTTGATAAAACAGCAGATTTTTTAAATTCATTTTTAAACTTTACTAACTTCTGCTGTTCACTGTTTACACTGTGTTCAAGTGGCACTAAGAACAATGTACGTGTGACAGCAGAACTCCCAAGTTCACTGTCCAGTAGTGGTGAGTATTCATTTACTTTTTAGAGTTTAGATTTTGACAGATTTATTTGGTAATTTAGATCAGAAGCATGAACATCAGGTGGACTTGCATTTAATCCAACAGCATATTTCCTTTTATTCTACTTGGGTTTTTTTTATTTTTTTTTACTGTGACCAGGTTTAATCTCTGAAAAGCCCCAGGATGCTCAGTTCTCCTCGTCACCCTTCACATGTGAACGCTCGCACAGATCTGCTTACCCAGATCATTGTGACGAAGGCATATGTCAGGGTTCTCTCTCTCTTCAGGATTATCCCTCTGGGATCCTGTATTTGTGCTGCTCCTGGTGTGTTATCCCTCCTGGCACTGCAGCCCTTTTCTTTTTCTTTTTGTTTTTTGTTTTTTGGGGGGGGGGATCTGAGCCTTGTCTGGGAAATGCCCTCTGTTGTGGGTCTCACAGGATTCACAGTACACACACTCGGTGAAAAGAGCCACGCTGCTACATCTGGCTGGTTCCTACTGGGCCAAAACTCTGGAGAGCAGAGCCGGTGAAACGGAGATTAAACCCAGGCAGATAAACAGACACAGTCTCTTTCCCTTTTGTTGTGGAGCCCTGTAAACGGTTCAGCATCATTAACTACATTTCACTGTTTGGTGTGTTATCAGCGGCGTGTATTTGGGACCCTCCCCTCAGCTATAGAAACATCTGCGGGAAGTTCATCCCCATTACACATGTTTCCATATTGTCCTTGGAGCCGCAACAAATACCAAACATTTGAGAGAGGCTTCTTCTGAGACCCGGTCATTCGAGGCCCCGCCGTTCACACCCCACTGATGTTTGTGTAGATGTTCAGCTCAAACAGGAAAAAAGGAGGAGATACAAACAGAATGAGAGGAGTGGACAGTCGGAGGCTTGGAGAGAGACGGATGAGTGGGAGGTCATTTCTTGAGGTGTGTCGAAATAGTTGGAAAAGAGAAACAATGTGAAGAGCAATCAAGAATGTTAGAGATGATTTTGTCTCTTGATGTCTCCAGAAATTTTGGATAGATGTTGTAAAAATGTTTTTTTTTTATCAGAGCGTGCCCACTTTTATTTCTTTTTCTTGCGTATGCGCCTACAACTCATGAAGTAAAAGTCTGACTCTCTCAGTTCATGTCCGGCCGTTCAATACAGAGCTACAGCCAGGAGCCGGTTCACACAGCTTATCGCAGAGTTACAGCCCGGTTCCGTAACAACAGTAACAAAATCCAACCGACTGGCACATAACTACCCACAAAAGGCGACATACCAGAGGCGCCAGAGATTGGAAATTGCACAAATCGAACATTTTGTAATAACAACAAAAAAAAAAAAACTGAGGGCACAAAGCTGCTTGGAGCGTCTATGACTCACCGGGGCCAGATGTGACACAAGGGAACGGCCTCTCACATCGCCTCACAATACTTTCTCTTGCACAGACGTTCCCGTGTTAAACCTTGAATTGCTTCAAGTTTCACGTAAAAAAAAAAAAAAAAAAAGTTTTCTTATCTGCTGCTGAGACTTTACCACTCAGTGTTGATTAAAGAGTTTTTGCTGACGAATCAGACTGCACGGTCAGATAACGTGTGACAGAGACGAGTAAAGCGATAATGAGTTCAACTTCCTGGATTTAAGAGTGTGGAGAGGAAGTCCAATTCTTGTTGTGGTTAGAATTAGGTAATTATCCACTTAAAGGGCATGTTCACATTAGCCAGGGACACTGACATCTATTGTTACCTAGTGAGGCTGGCACTGTGACAAGCACTCTCCCCGGCTTAAGTGTGTGTGTGTGTGTGTGTGTGTGTGTGTGTGTGTGTGTGTGGGGTCAGGGGCTGGATTGCTATGGTTTCCTGTCACTGGGGTCGTTTTCTGTCAGAACACTAACAATGAACTATTTCAGAGATCGAAAGCACTTGTTTGGAAAAAAGTTCTTGTTATACCTGAGAATTGCTTTTCAGTTTATTCAATTTATTCTCTAACTAATTCTTCTTCTGTCTCCTCAGCCACAAAATGGAGTCTGCTACAGTGGAGCTGCCGTCCCTGTTGTCCAATCACTCATCAGAGCCCTGCGCGGCGGTGACGTCGACCGCCGAGAACACTTTGTTCGGATGCTTCTACATCCTGGTTTTCTTCCTGGCGCTGAACGGGAACAGCTTGGCTCTCTGGATCTTCTGTCATCAGCGCGGCACTTCTTCTCCAGCTAACGTCTTCTTGATACACCTGGCCGTGGCGGACTTGTCGTACGTGGTCATCCTCCCACTGAGAGCCACCTACCACCTCACCGGCGGCCACTGGCCCTTTGGCGAGGTGCCCTGCAGAGTGGTTGGCTTTCTGTTTTACGTCAACATGTACGCGAGCCTGTACTTCCTGGCCTGTGTGGCGGCCGACCGCTACCTGGCCGTGGTTCATGCTGTGAGGTCGCTGAAGGTCCGCCGCGCTCGGTACGCTCACATCATCAGCTTCTCTCTCTGGGCCCTGGTCACCGTCTCCATGGCGCCGTTGCTAGTCGCCCACCAGACTGCAGAGGTGGACGGAGTGACAGTGTGTCTGCAGCTCTACAGAGAGAAGGCTTCACGTAACGCCTTGATCTCACTGGCTGTGGCCTTCACCCCGCCGTTCCTCGCCATCCTGTCCTGCTACCTGCTCATCATCCACAGCCTGCATCGGGGCTCCAGGCTAGAGCCGGCCGTGAAGCTTCGGGCCCTGCGGACCATCAGTCTGGTGATTCTCATCTACGTGGTCTGTTTCCTGCCTTATCACGTGAGCAGGGCCACCTTCATCCTCGGGTACAGCCACCCCGACGTGTCCTGCCAGACACGCCGTGGCCTGAGCTTGGCCAACCGCCTCACCTCCTCCCTCACGTGTCTGAACGGTGCGATGGACCCGCTGGTTTACGTGTTTGGGGCCAAGAAGTTCCGCGGGACTCTAATGCAAATGTTTTGCAGGGATAAGGTGGGAATGTCAGGAGCCACGAGTGGAGAGCTAAAGGGAACACATGAGATTTCTATGAGTGCCA